CACAGTTTCACGAATAGTGTCAAAATGAAGCATTAAATAATTAGTTTGTTTTCCTCTTTGACGAGGTAGAATTATGCCCTATTAATTCAATGGAAATTTATTAGAATTCTTGTAATCGTGTGATGGTTCTATTGGTTACTAGTTTTGGGCTAGACACTGAAGAATAGGTAAGAGATTGAGACATGAAGACAAACGTGACACGTGGAGAGGACCTGATAATCCGATATTTTGATCAATTCGATAGCTTTTTGCTCAATTTGATGTAGGGTCATATTTTGATAGTTAAGAGTTTAGGGAATGGCCTCCTGGCCTTTGATTTCCATATAAATGACACAACGTGCAGAAAAAGGGAGAACAAACATACTTGGAAAGCATATTACAACATTAAGTCGTATGTTGCGTTCGAGAAGGATGAACCACTTATGAAAAGAAAACTATAAATTCTCTCCTCATTGATTAGATCATATGCACAATTATTTATTTGGTCACTGTTATCCTATAATGAGAAAGTGTGATTGAAATTGTTTGAACAAACTCACAGCAATCATTAACCTCTTATCAATTGATCATGAGTAGCTTTTTTTACAATCATGAGTGAATTAAGTAATGAAATCAGCAAGCATTCTCATATCAAGTTAAGCTATCAAGTTGAACTATATTGTGTTCGAATATTCTTTCCCATTTATTCTATTAAAAAATATATATATATATTAATATATATAAAACTAAAGAGTAAGGCCGAGAAACGTCCTCCAAAACTGTACGGATTCCAGGTCAGACTTTATTCATCCCTGAAATTAGTTATCCAAATCGGCATCGCAGGTGGGGCCCACACAGAGGCGCATTATTTTTTTCGCTTTTTTTTTTGAAAGGAGATCCGCATTATTATTACTCGCGGTGTGACGTTTTCAATTTTCAATGGAAGAAAGCGCCGCCTGCGCGCATCATTTCCCTCGCGCGGTCACACTTTTGGAGCTGAAAGGGTTTTTATTTTTTATTTTAATTTTCTTTCCCGAAGGTGGCGCGTGAGGGAATGTTTCTCGTGTCGTACATTGGAGGGAAATTAAATGGCCAAGCTGACGCTTTGCGAGAAAGAAGAAATGCCTAAGCTGACACTAATTTCCTAGCCCTCCCATCATTCATCATTGATAATAATAATAAATTAAATATTTTAGAATAAACTAATATATATATATATATATATCATTTCAAGAGTTGAACACTATACATTTCATAAATATTTTTTTAAAAATCATTTGATGAAGTATTTGTTAATATTTTTAATAGAGATATAATGTATCAAAATCTAGGCGATTGACGTAAAAATTTGTCTAAATTGAATATGAAAAGAAACCAAAAATGTGAAAACATATATCGCTTTTAAAAAGAGAGATTACGGACAAATTGGACAGAGAGTAGAGAAGCAAATTCTATTCAAAACTTACAATTTTATACCATCGATTAAGAGACTAATGAACTCAATAGCTTATGCTGATGAAGAAACTATAAATTTAAATAGTTGTCAAATGTTTCTTCCTAATTGTCACGTTGTTATAAATTTTACCACGTCATTTTTTCGTTCAAAATATTAACCAATATTATTGGGAGAGGTTTGGGTGTTGACAAGGATTTACGTTCGAGTTCTCCTCTGTTGGAAAATCAAAAAATTTCTTTTTGGGAATATGGAAATTGAATTTTCCAATTCGATGGAATGAGTAAATGTTACTTACTGTCGAGCTATGTATATGTCTTTTAAAAAATTTATGAAATGTGGAAGATAATATTTAAAAATTTGGAAGGTTAGAATTATTTGTTGGACAAAAGGCAAAGTTCAGAAATATATATATACGTTTTTTTTTGGGGTGATTTAGCCAATAATTTATAAGAAAATTTACCTAAGGTATATATTTTTTCAAATAATAAGCAGCGCCCTCTGCCGGATTGTTACCTACAATGTTTCTTTTTTTAAAAAAAACACATCGATTTAATACCATTAGCCAAATTTCATAAATAAGTTATATATTTTGAAAATGGACATTTCTCGTATAAAATTATGGAGTAAAATGAGGCGGCACGAGTCACGAACGATGAGAGAATACGAGATTGAACAAAATATAAAATTGTAAATAAAAAATAGAAAATGCAATTTCTCTTGGAAATTCAACCTGAGTTTTCCATCCAAATCCACTATCAAATGAACCATGAACTGCTACTATTTATAGACAATTTGTACAATCATGACGTGTTACAATTGGACACTAATCATAGGTAGAAAATAGACACACGCGGACATTTGAGAATTAAGCACTTTGACATGGTTCAATTTGACACTAGACAGATGAAGAGGTTGACACGTAGATTAGGTTTATTTAGACATCTATGTTTTTACACCTAATATTGGACATTTATTTTATTTGATAATGTTCATAATACTTTCAAAATATTCTAAAAAATTGAACATATAAAAACGTTTTTTACTCTTAGCAAAATAAAATTATAAATGAGTAGATCCCTTATAAATTTATTCATAAATCCATGAGTTTTCGAGTTTCAATTTTGAACAATTATTTTAGAAATAAGTTTATCGTTTAAAGTAATAATTTCTATATATGGAATAACCAACAGCAACTCGAATTCTAAAAAAGTATGATAATTAATAAAAATATTGTGTATAAATGTTTAATTATTTATCATAATCGGAAAAACGTGGATTCAAAGGTTCAATAAAATGATATATAAATAAAATTTTTAGACAATGAAATGAAACCAATCGTGAAATCAAACCTATTTAAGTTTAGCAAACAATACAAATACAGTGCAAAAGTATTTTTTGAAATAGTTTTTTCGTACAAGTAATACAAAATTGTCTTTTTTGTTAAAAAAAAAAGTAATAATAATAAAAAAGAAAAAAGTACAATTAATTTGATAAAAAAGTTACTCATTAAAAAAAAATTGAAATTATATTATCGAGCTGATCCATTATAACTTTATTAAAAACATCAAAATTAGAATATCTATTCCTTTCAAAAAAGAAACAAAAAAAAAGAATATTATTCATTTTTTTGGACGATTTTAAATTTATAATTTTGAAACAGTGTTTTACAGAATAAATTCTCATTTATAATAGTAACTTTATTAATAATGAAATATCCCAACCATAGAAAATCAAACAAGACCAATCACCGAGTTACAACTCAAAATAAAAAAAACTATAAGGTGACGATAATGCTAAGAGAATACCATATAAAACAATCTAATTAATTATTATAATCGGGACTGAGGTCAATGGAATGAAGTTAACGAATAAGTAAAGATTTCTCTCCTCTCATAAAAAAAAAACAAATAAATAAAAGTATAAAGTTAGTCTTCATACCCACTAAAATTTAAACAGTTTCAATTAGTTAGAAATAGATGCCTTAACCACTTGAGCTATGCTCGATTTGACACATACATATTATATTTGTTTTATCTATACTATATAGAATTTTCTAATATACTATATTTTTTCTAATAACTAATAATGGATGACGTGTGACTTACGCCAGAGGGTTTCTACCAACGGGAGTATCAACGGTCACCTACTACTATAACCAATGTTGTAGGACTCGTCCTTAAATTGTGAGGGGGGAAATTCCAACTATGCACCCCACAATGCTCAAACCGAATTGGGAATCCCCATTCGACCACAAGCCCACTACGCCACCATCCGCTCGTGGTATAATATACTATAATCTCTCTATTGATCAATTATTAAAACTCATACGATCTCTTATAAAAAGTAGATATGTTAACGTAGCTATGCTCTTGCTACTCGTCAAAGTTTAAAGTTCAATAAATTTTGTTCGAACATCTAACATTTGAGTTATTAGACCTATATTAGGTAGTTGGTTGTTATGTTATAATTCAACTTCTATTTGTAACTSTAATATGACCTAAGTCTATTTATTAGACTCATATTCATTAATGAGAATTGTGCAGACTCAATCATATATACTTTTACCAATTCACCTATATTTTAATATAAAATTTATAAGTGGATACCTCGATTAAAATGATAAAATTTATCAAAATTAATTATTAAATATAAAAAATAGTTATCCCGAGTAAGAAACAGTTTTTACATTACTACAGGTAAAATAATGATTTTTCATTAATTTGTAAAGAGGAAAAAGAGAAAAAGAAAAGGAAAAAAAAAGGAAAGAAAAAAAAGAAGAATTCGAAAAGCTTTCCTCACAAGCTACGCCCGCGGTAATTGCGTGGAGCAGTTAAAAATTAAGGCCACGATCTAGCGGTTACCGAACAGTTTCGGTAGGCTGTAATCATTAACCTCCACGTGTCGGTTTCAAAGGTTAAAAAAGGGAGGCAAAAGAGTCTTAAAAACCGCCCACAGTTGCACGATTCTTTTCTACCCTTTTTACCTGGGTTGGAAAGAATTCAATTCAACTCACAATAAAACTATTTTCTTTATTACATAAAAAATATATCGATTTTCTTAAGATTTTGAGAAATTCGTCAAAAAAAATATTTGAAAATAAAATTTAAATAATTTCAAACTGTGTATCATCAGTAAATTACCTTATTGATATATTTCTTTTGATATTCTAATAAAAATATAGATTAAATAAATCACATATGGAATTTGAATATGAGCTCCACAATTAGCTCTAATTTTGTAGAAAAAATATTTATTGAAAATTTATTATGTTGAGAAAATATTTAAAAATTTAAAATTGATTTATAAAAGCAATTGTGATTCCTCAACGGGGTCTTCACTTTTCTGCTTCCTCACTCTCTTAGCGTGTTTTTTCTCCATCCGAAGAACCCTCTCTCTGTTCTGTTTGATTTCTCAACTGCAATGTCTCGACGTGGTGGTGGTGGCGGCGGTGGCGGTGGTCGCGGTCGAGGTGGAGGTCGCGGAGAACAGC